GTATCAGCAGCAAGGGAGTGAGAATACCCCGCTTGAATGAAGCAGAGAAAGATGAAGGAGAGCCAACACTTAAAACAGGAACGGGCCCAGGCCATCTCGAGAAAGTTAACCAAGAACCTTTAAATTAGGCACTTCTGAGTTCTGTTGTCATGGGAACCAGCGCTGCTCCAAGTCCCGCGTGTTCCCCCCAGGCCCACGGGGTCAGGGTCCCTTTGCTCCACTCCCAGCGTGGTTGGCCGCCTTGCAGAGGCACATCAGAGAGAAAAAGATGGCCCTCGCAGGTGAGCGTTTGCAGAGGGAGAGGATGGAAGGGTGGGGTTGGAGGGCTTTGTCTCACTGGAGGGGGAAACCCTGAGTCCCATCTCGTCTGAGAGGCCAGCAGACCTCTCGTCCTCTGTGGACTGGGGAGGCCCAGTGGGGAAATAAGTCTCCAGCACAAAGAAGTGGAGAGAGAGAGAGCGAGGGCGAGAGAGGGACGGGGGGGAGGGAAAAGCCAGCAGGAATTGCAAACAGACGGCACGGTAGTAACTTACTTAATTTCTTTGACCTTTTACTTCGCCATCTTTCCTACTGTAAGAGGTTATATTTGTTCAGTTTCACTGAGATATTATTGACACCCAGCGCTGTGTAAGTTCAAGGTGTTCAACGCAGTGACTTGACGTACGTATCCTGCGAAAGGACCACCACAAGGAGTTACGAAGGGGACAGCGAGGACAGGACTCCCCCTGTGGTGGCCTCGCCCATCTCATCTGGCGTCAGCTCCACCAGCGAGTTTCTTTCCACTTCTCCAGCTCCTCCCACACGCCCTGCTCTTGCCCAGATTTGGGTGGCCTGGAAGTGGCTTGATTCAGATGTTTGTTGCTTATTCATATCTGATCCCCGGGGACTAGCGCAGGAGTGGACGTTGCCATGTTTCTGGCAGGGGTGTGTATCCTTTTTAAAGAAATCGATTGATGAGGCAGGGTCTTCCCGACTCAACTCCAGAGCCCTGCCACGACCGGGAGTAAGAGGGGGGCCGGTGAGGCCAGAGCTGGGCAGTCGGGGAGGAACCTGGCAGGAAGGGGCTTGGGCATCCTTTTGAGCAGAAGGTGCTGTTGGCAGCTGCTGCTTGGAATGGTTGGTAAGAAGTAAAATGTTCTTCCTGCTCCTGGTGCCCCTCACTCACGCTCCCAGCATTTCCCCCCTCATCCCGTTCCTGACCCTGCTTCCCTTTGTTGCATTAAGTCCCAGAAGCTGTGGTGTGAGTCCAAATGGTATTTGGATCCTCCAGGCATCTAAAGAAGCGTGAGGTCCAGAGAGAGGACTTACCCTGGGTTGCTCTGGAGGGCAGGGCTTGGCCTGGGTGGAGATGCACGGAGAGTCATCCTGGCTTACACCAAGCACATCATTCACCCACTCTTCCTTTCAGCCAATATTTATTGAGCACCTAGTACATGCCAGGCAGTGTTCTAGACCTTGGGGATACAGCGAGGAACCAAACAGGCTAATATCTCTGTCCGTAAGGACATTCTGCCAGTTAGAGGTGACCGGCAGGGTCCCTTCTGGGAGCTTTCAAGGAGAGGAGGTGAGCAGCATGGGCAGCACCGAAGAGCGAGCCTTACACTGACCAGGGGTGTTACTGAACTCAGGTCTGGCTACTAGCTGCTCGAAAGCTAACTCGAGAGACAAGTGTTGGTAAAAAGGAAAGGTTGCTTTATTTAGGAAGTCGGCAACCTGGGGAGAAGGTGGACTCATGTCCAGAGGCCAATACCTGCCCCTGCTGATCAGAGGGCAAGAGCTCTTAAAGGGGAGTTTCAGGGGGGCCCCGGCAGAGGGAGGGGGCTACGTGCAGAACAGCTCAGTCAGCTCTGACAGTCGTCTTGAGGTTAGTCATGCGATGGTCTGATCAGTATCATCTTGGGTGTTTTAAGTAGTTAATTTCCAGTTCCAGGGTGGGTTTGTTCCCGTTTCTTTGAGGCCACTTCTCAGAACTGTGCAAGATGGAGCAGCTTCTATTCATGGTTGCAGTCTGGTCATCATGCAGTTGGCTTCTTCCCCCGGGTGGGGGCTCTGGTATCTGCAAAACAGCTCCAAGGATCTGGCTCAGTGTCTCCAGCCCTTGAGGAGAAACCGGAGATCCTTGACTTCGCTTAATGACTGAACTATTCTTATTTGGTCTAATTTGCCTGCTTTCCTTGGCTTCTGCATTTTCTCATTTCTCTGATTAAACTTATTCTTTGGCTGAAGTTTTTCTACAGGCAGGAGGCAGACAGAGGACATGGAGGTTGAGAGGGGTCTGTCCTGGGAAGGCCCCATAGGGTCCTGCTCCATCTCAGGAGGTTGGCTGAGGGGACTTGCGATAGTAAAGTTTAGTCTTTAAGTCACAAACATCTCCCTTCAAATTCGGATGTACATTTAACTACTCAGTACTCATTCAGATCAGGCGGGAGGCAGACTCAGGACAGGTGCATTTTGCTTAGAGAGGGTCCCTGGGCGGGTGGAGTGGGTGTATTGCTGCAGAGAGACACAGAGCAGGGACACTGAGTGGGAGCGGACGGTGGGCAGGAGCCTCGGGGGAGGGAGGCGGCTGTGGGGGAGCCGGGTGAGCTTATGTGCTTCCCAGGTGCTCCCTGGGCCTGAGTGTGATGCCACGGGGCAGGCTGAGCCCCAGCAATTCTCCCTTAATCGTGGGTGGTGTCTGACGACAATAAGGATTCAGAGCTTCATCCAAGCGTTTCCTCCTGTCTTTTAACGTGCCCGTTTTAGCCCAGCAGTCCTGAGTGTTAAAGTGGCGGTAAGGGAGGTGCCTGTGCTTAGGTTAGAGCGCGGGGTGAAGCCCAGCTCTGAGTCCTTGGTCTGTGAGTGCGTCTGCAAGACACGGCCTCGCAGGTTCTTGTCATTAAAGGAGTCTGACACTCGGGGGCGCTGTTTCCCTTCAGGTCTGCCGACTGCCGCCTTTGGAATCCCCAGTGCGGCTGTTTTCCTCAATCAGTTCTGCTGGCCTGGTACTGTCTTAATTAACCTCATTCACACTTGTTAGCGAAAATCAAAACCAGGCAGGGTGTTACCTGTTTCCGATTGCGTCTGGGTGTTAAACACATGCTCTTCAGTGTCTCCCTGTGTTCCCTTCCCTGAGGGCAGAGGTTGCTACATTCATTGGAATTTTTAACCAAGACAATCAATAAGTGCAAATGTAGTTGCTGAATAACCCAGGTCTGTTAACCAGACTGTGAATGTTTGTTTAAAATGAGCGAAGTCCCATTTTCCCTCCGTGGCGAGCCCATTCAGTCGTCAAACCCTTGAATCCCCAAATCCTGAGAGATGTGATGACGTGTGGTCCTGATGTTTTAGGAATATAGCCTGTCTCTGGCATTCCATTCTGAAAAGAGGTCGCTATTCCTTTTTTTTAAACTTTTTTATTATTTTTTAAACTTTTTTTTATTTGAGTTATAGTCAGTTTAC